CCCTCAGCCTCCTTTGCTCCAGCCTGGACACCCCCAGCTCCCTCAGCTGCTCCTCCTCACACTTGTGCTCCAGACCCTGCCCCAGCTCCCTTGCCCTTCTCTGGACACGCTCCAGCCCCTCCATGTCCTTCTTGTCCTGAGGGGCCCAGAACTGACTCCAGGATTCCAGATAGCCTTCTTTGGGACTGGATGTTCCCCTTTCAGTTACAGATGTGCCTCTGAGCTGCAATGTCCAAACCTCTGGCAACATTCAAGCTCTGCTAAAGATTTTTAATGCCTCCTCTTGGGCATTTGTTTCCAGCTGTGTTGGTGCTCAACCTCTGATCTTAAAACAGTATTAATAGTATTAGGTGGAGGAAATCTTCTCTGTTCAGACAGGGACTAGATATGGAAAATAATCTGTGCCAAAGAGCCAAGATTAGCAACTGGAAACAGGAGGTGTGGGTTGGATTGGAAATGACCATTGACCTTTTAACATGGCTGTGGGCTTAACTATAATGAATCGTTTGGAGATGGGTGGAGTCCACTTTGTCATCATGAATTCTGTAAAAATGTTCAAAACAAATATCTTTTTTATCAGCATAGTTCTTGCTAGCAAAGATTTCCCTTCATCTTCATTTTAAATTCTCACTTGAGTTTTGTCACCTCTATATTTAGCACACTAGTTTTAGAGAATGAACCAAAGATCTAATTCTTTCAGTTCATTTTTATTTAATCAACTGACTTCATCTAGTTTCCTCTTGTTGACTTCCTTCTGATCTTACTTTAGTGCTGTAAACCTCAGGCATTATATTTGATGGAATTTGATTTTAATTCTTAAGCAAAAGGTTTTATCTTTAAATTTCTGCTGTTCGGTAATCATGTAATTAAATGTGTTTAATCTCTCAGATGTCTCAGAGAATTCAAAGGTAGTTCTAGAGATATTTAGCTTCAAACGCTTGCACTAAAGAAATCCAGGTTTTGCCTTTAATGTAGAGGAAGAGGCATTTGCCCAGTTCAAAGAATTTTTTTTTTCCTGAAAGGCAGTTGGTTTACTTGTTATCTGGATCACAAAGTACATTGTGAATGGAGAAAAGGAACAACCATTCTGGGTTTTGAAGATACTCCTGTGGAATTAGACACAGCTTTTAATATCAGAGTGCTTCAAACTTGCTACTCAGTTTACTTTGGTTGGTGAAACTCCATTTTTAAATGAAGCTAGTTCAAAGAATAGATGAAACAGAATTTTGAGGTGGTAGTAATAATAATAGAGCTTGTGCAGCATAACTAGTTAGATAATATGGTTATCATTAATTAGTGAAATCAACTGTTGGGCATTGAAAAATGGAACTGAAAAATAACCTTTAAATCTTGCAACTTTGTTAAGGTGTGGGAGGGTGGCTAATCTGATGGTTATACTACATAAAGGCAGCTCACTTTTTTTTTGATAGAAGTCACCAGATGGGTTTTTTCATTTGTAATTCTGCTAAATGTGAAAGCTGTTGATCACAGTTGCAAAATTATTACTCATTGTAGTAAAAGTATCTTGTATTAAATGGAACAAACAAGGATTAATCTGTTAATTATCAAACATATTTGAGCAGTTGACTGGCATGCAAGAGAGGATGGATTTTCAACAGACAATAAGGCAGGTAAATGGGTTTGAAGTCCTACTGGAAGGCAAAAGGGACAGCAAAATGACACTAATTCAATGCTCAGGTGTTACTTGTGAAGATTTAAGGATAAAACCCCCAAATGCTCAGTCACTGAACAAATAGGTGTTGTTGGTTTTTTCTTTGACAGAAACACCACCTCCAGGATACATCAGTGAAGATGGAGAAACGAGTGACCAGCAGTTGAACCAAAGCATGGATACAGGTAACATTTCCATTACTTTAAAGACCTGGGATTGCTAGTTGTGATCCCTGTGCATGAGTGGCTGAATCCAGTCTTGAATGATGATGGCAGCAGCCTTCTCTTCAACCTCATATTTTTGGTTTAAAATATCACTTCCAGTCTTTTGTGAAGAAAATGATTCTTTTTAAAACTTTCTCTACCATCTGAAATCTCTTTCATTTGTTTCATAATGAAGGTCTGATTAAGGCTTCATTAGAAAGCCTTAAAATAGACTTTATTTCAACTTAACCCAACTTTACCTCCTAGGAAAAAGTTCATTGGAGGAAAATGCCTGTCAGGCTTAAACAAGTTACAAAAATGCTGTGCTTTGAGGAAGTGTCTCTTAATTTTTATCCCTTGTGCCATGTTTCAGATAAATTATTATATGATACACTCTACTCAAAGAGTAGTAGAAACATGAAGCATTTTGCTTTTGTGTGGAAGGACTGGTAGATAATCTGGTTGGTCTTAGACTTAGACAAAACACAGCTAATGTGCTGGGTAAGCACCTCCTGCTATGTGCTGGCAGACTGGAGCATGTGTTTGGTGAGCTCATGATAGCAGCCTTTTTTTAGTTAATTGGGATCAACTGCACTAGTTTCTCTTAAGAACTGCAATATTTTCCCACTAGGTGACAATAGGTACCTTAATTAAGAAGGCCTGAATTAAAAAGTCATTGTAGGAATGTTTCTTAGCACAGCTTCACTTTATTTTGCCTACTAGCACACAAACTGTATTGGAGAGCTCATGGTTTTTTGAGGTTTTTTTTTCCTTCCTCCTTCCAGGAAAGAGTAATTGCCTCACATGAGAAAATCCAGCTTGTTCTGGAGTGTCTGTCTCTGGAGACTATCTCTGGCTGCCTATCTGAGTCAGCAGCCCTAGTTTTTTGGTCCTGCTCTGGCAGGGGGGTTGGACTTGATGATCTTCAGAGGTCCCTTCCAACCCTTAACATGCTGTGATTCTTCTCTAGAGATAAACCCTATCCTTTGAGAGAGAGAACTAATGTCTTGATTGTCTTGTCCACTTTTTCTTAGCTGTTTTTTCCCTGGATTTTGGAAGCGGTCACTACCTTCTCCCTGGAAAAGTGCCTAATAAAGTTGTGTTCACAGAGTGTGCATAAAGTGAGAGCTCTGCCCATTACAACACAAAAGATATTGAGTTGATGAGAAAGGGGTATGTTGCCAAGGGTCTGGAGAATGTCATCTTCATTCAGAAGAAGCATGTGACTTCCTGGCAAACTGGTTGTCGGATTTTTGAGGTTGCTTATTGCAAAGGATTTTAATGTAAAACTATCTCTAGATAATGGTCATACCTATCTGAAATAACAAGACTCATTTGCTCTGAAACAATCTGTATTGCTTCAACAGGATCTCCAGCAGAGCTGTCTCCTAGTACTCTCTCCCCAGTCAATCATAGCCTGGGTAAGCTGGAAATCTTTCTAATTGTTTCTGTCTGTGTGATGACTCTTCTTTAAATATATATATATCATTGCATTAAAAATGAACATGTACTTTAAAAGAGCAAGAGGTGTATTTGGAGGAGGCTGTTGGGTTGGCTTCCTGATGATAAGCATAGTGTGGCTGGGTTAATAACTTGTTAATAACCACTCTGTTTTTGTAGCTGTTGAGCTTCTAGGAAAGAGAAGATTATTATTGTATGTGCAGGAAAAGAATTTATAAAATCAGCAGTTGAAAGGACATTATACTCTCAGTGCTCAGACTTGGTGTCTCCCTTGGATGTGTGTGTCCTGCTGCTCTTCTCATGTGCTATTTCACCTGTGGCCACTGCACAGTGGCTACTCCCACCTGAGTTGCCCACCTGCTTTGATCAGGTGCTACTGCTGTGTGTCTGTGTAAATGCCTCAGGAAGATCAGATTCCCTTGGGTTTGTTTAAGGAATGGTGACAGGATGTGACAGGAAAATGCTGCTCAGAACACTGAGTAAGTAATTAGGGTTGGTGAAAAGGGGAAGCAGGGCAGGAAAAGCTGAAGATGCACAGGGAAGATACTGAGCTTTAGCAGGGGAGCGTAAAAAGGAGCTTAGAGCTGCCTTTAGATAAAGAAACAGCATCAGATACAGTGTGGAACAGCATTTTCATATTAATATTTTTCTCCTTAGTGTGGTTCAGTGCTTGATAGTTTAATCTTTTAACGTTGCCAAAATGTTTGCGAGTTACAGAAAGGCAAGAGAAATGTCTCAGTGTCTGGCACCCACAGGAACATTAGCTTAATCATTTTGTCAAGCAAAATGCAAGTACTGAACTACATGAGCTGTGGTTAGATTAGATCACCCCTCTTTCCCCTCCTCCTTCCTTTATGTGGAATATTGAATTCCATTCTGTTTACGGGGTAGGTAAAAATGGCAGCAAAGCAAAATAGAATTGAAGTTGTTTGAGGAGACCACCACTTCTGTTGCTGGAAGAGGTAAATAGGGCAGAGATTTCAGCCTCAAATTCTGTGCTAAACTTGGAGTTTTTAAAAATGGTTTTATTTCTTTTTTAGATTTGCAACCAGTTACTTACTCGGAGCCTGCGTTTTGGTGTTCAATAGCATATTATGAATTGAATCAAAGAGTGGGAGAAACCTTCCATGCATCACAACCTTCCCTGACTGTAGATGGTTTTACAGATCCATCAAATTCAGAACGATTTTGTCTAGGTCTGCTTTCCAATGTCAACAGAAATGCTACAGTGGAAATGACAAGAAGACACATAGGTAAAAATCTCTGACCTTTTTTCACTGTTTCAGTTTAACCATGAAATTGTCTGAAATCATCCAGGTAGAATGGGAAGCCAGTCAGTTACATGGGATTTCTGTTGCTCACATTGCTGTCTCTCCTTCTGGAAAAAGCCAATCCACCAAAGCATCCTGAAGGGGAAGATATTTTACTTCAAGCTCATTGGACCTTGTGCAGCATTTCTGTTCAGAGTTGCTTATCATTGGTGTTTAACCTTTAATTACAAAATATGAACACGTTGCTTAGTTTATTCTAAACTGCAGAATAGACATGGGAATCCCTGAATTCTTGAATCCTTGAATTCTTTCGTAAAATGGGAAAAGCTGCCATTGAGTTAACATGCTGTTTCAACATGATCAAGATGTTCACTGTAATAGTTAGTAAACAATATTGTTTTCCACAATGCAGCATCTTGGCTTGAATTTCTTAATGAAACTACTTTTTTTTTTTTGTCTGTCCTCTTTCATTTAGCAACATCCAGGAGATGTTTTTGTTTTTACTTCTAGTAAAGAAGTTCAGCCTTTTTTAGTATAGAACCTTGTGACTTCCTCTAAGCCAAATCCAAGTGTTTGTCTCATAAACTTGTAGATGTGCAGAAAACCAGGCTGTGCTTGTACTAACTGATCAAAATGGTCAATAATGAGGGAAGCAAAAATGTCAGGAGCTCTCAATGTTAGATAGAGCAGCTCAGATTTAATTTGCAAAATAGTTTGAAAGAGAAAGGGGAGAGGATCTATGACCTGTAAAAAGGACATGTTAATTGTAAACAATTTTCTCTACATTATCTCTTTTGTGCTACAAATAATGCATAGAGAGTTTTATTCCCAGGTAGAGAACAAGATCACCATTTTAAAGTGAGCAATAGGATTTCTAATGGGTATTTCTTGTTCATGGGGTTAAATGAAGGCCTGGCATTTTTGTCAGAGTAGCACAGAGGGATGTGCAGATGGTTGTGAAAGAGTGGGTGCATATACGCAGAGACATCCCTTTTTTGCCATCGTGGCCTCTTGTCACTTCACATACGACACCTGATATTAGCACAAATGTTACTTCTCCTGAATCTAATATTTTACAGGTTGAGTGAGTTGGGGTGTTCAGCCTGGAGAAGAGAAGGCTCCAGGGAGACCTTAGAGCACCTTCCAGTGCCTGAAGGGGCTGCAGGAAAGCTGGGGAGGGGCTTGGGACAAGGGCAGGGAGTGACGCGATGAGGGTTAATGGTTTCAGACTGAAAGAGGGGAGATTTAGGTTGGGCATTAGGAAGAAATTCTTTGCTGTGAGGATGGTGAGACACTACCTACAGAAGCTGTGGCTGCCCCATCCCAGGAAGTGTTGAAGGACTGGTTGGATGGGGCTTGGAGCAACCTGGGCTGGTGGGAGGTGTCCCTGCCCATGCAGGGGGGTTGGATCTAGATGATCTTTAAGGTCCTTTCCAACCCAAACCATTCCATGATCCTATGATTTTTATTTCAATTTTGCTGTTTCTCTAAGTGGATAAGATTTTTGGTAGTGAGCACTGTTTCCTAACTTGGGTTTGTTTACATTCCCATACATGACTAGAAAGCTCTTTCTCACTTGCCCAAAAAAATGATTCTGCTTCTACTTCAAACATTGTGTCTTGGTGGGAGAAAAATGCCAGTTCATTGTGTTCTGCTCCAGCAGTGTGATCCTCTAGAGAACTGATTGCTGTTAGGAAGAAAAACCTTGGGCCTTCTCTGAGACCAAAATACTTGGGTCATCTCCTAACTAGAGGTCCTTTAACTCTTGCTCCAGGAAGGGGAGTCCGTCTCTATTACATCGGGGGAGAAGTTTTTGCCGAGTGCCTCAGCGATAGCGCCATTTTTGTTCAGAGCCCCAACTGTAATCAAAGATACGGCTGGCATCCTGCAACGGTGTGCAAAATTCCACCAGGTTAGTAGCCCCCCCCAAAAGGTCCCCTCCATGAGTACATCCCCCTAGATGTATTGATTGGAGGACATTTGCTTCCCTTGTGGTGGTTTCTTCAGAGCTCTGGGCTCCTGTGTAGTGAAAACAAGTATTGGTTGATTGTTTGTATTATTTTGATCTGTTGTTTATTTTTCTTGACAGGATGCAATCTAAAAATCTTTAATAACCAAGAATTCGCTGCTCTTCTGGCTCAATCTGTGAATCAGGGTTTTGAAGCAGTTTATCAGCTTACTAGAATGTGTACTATAAGAATGAGTTTTGTTAAAGGATGGGGAGCTGAATACAGGTAAGAAAAAAGCCTTTCCTTTTCAATTGAGAGTTAATAATTGTTCTTTTTGCACTCCTACATGATTTCTTGATTTGAAAGCCACATGTACACGCTTCTTACTGCTACTATAGATAATCTCCCTGCAATTTGAACCCATATTTTCCTTTTTCTCCCCCTCAGCTGTGGAGCTCCTAAGTCATAGAAACCAGTAAACTGATTTTATTGTTGCATTGAAGTCAGCTCTTGAGCAAGGAATGTTGTCAAAGTTCCATTTCCTTCCTCAGTCCTGCTTCCTTGTGTATTGTGGTGAAATCACTGACAACATCTAGAAGTTTCACAGTTTGTGCCATGACATTATTTGCTGTTTGTTAGATGCACAGTCCTTTTGGTCTCTCTCCTGATATGAGATTGAGTGTATTAGGTTGTGGTGCAGGATGTGCTTGACACTTACCTGATGGAAGAACTGGAATCACCTGGAGTGCATTCTGCAGGATTAACCAGGACACACATTTAAGGGTTGGCAAATATTTTGGAACTTGTAGTGGAAAAAACTTCTCTGGAGTAAGATGACTGTATTTGTGTAGTAAAACTGCCAAAACCAGTTTTTTGAGTGAAAAAAAAAGTCTTTTATTTGCTTTTAAATAGATTCAGTTTGTATTCTCTGCTAGCACAAACCAAGAGCTATAGTTAGGGACAGTGCCTGTTTTTAATATCTACGGGAATTCGAGAATAAAAAAAAAATTGACTTTGAACTGAATGCTGTTAAAAAAATGTCAGTCTGGAGAGCTGGAGATGTGGTTTCAAACAAACCCCTTAAACCTCTAGGAATTGTCCAGTGAAAGAGTGGAGTCTGACGTACCAACACCCTATTGATATGCCTGGTGTTTTCTTGAAAATCCGTATTACTTCTGAAGCTGAGAAATTCGATGTGGATTCCCCTGTGAATCCTGAGGTTCTGATTCTTTTGTCTGCTCTTGAAACACATCCATGTCAATACCAGCATCAGCACAGGGGGGGAAGCTGCTTGGCTAAGTGAAGCCAATTTTGTAAAATCCTAATTAGATGAAATGAAGAAATTTGAGTAATGGAATAAATTGGGACCTCTTTGTTAGCAAGAGGAACACAAGAAAGGATCTGGCTCAAGTTTAAAGAACTGTTGGATTTGGCTCCAAAGGAGTATGTATAGACTTAAGGCATAATTAAATGCAACATTCAAATCAGAACAGCAGAAAAGCTTAATCAGTCAGATGACATGGAGACAACTTGAAGTGAATGGAGTTGTTAAGTGCTGGGTTAAAACAGCGGGGGGAGGCTTTTTGGTAAAGTTTGTTCTTAGATTGTTGGTTGTTACTAGTCTGTAAACCCTTCAGAAATCAGAGGGTTGAAAACGCTCCAGTGGCCACAGCCCAGAAACTGATTACTGACATAATGCTGAACAAGTTTCTGTTTCAGATGGTGCTAAGAAATAATTGATGCACGAAACTTGCAAGTTGTGATTAAAGCAAGGAGAGGTTGCTCCTGCAAACACAACCTTGGGTGTCAATGTAGTCTCGAATTGTCAGAATACACCAGGAAGCTGTAAAATCCATCATTCTTCAAACTCTCATGTTTTGTTTTTATGTCCAAAGGGTTTCTCATAGAACAAGTTTTGGCAAAGCTGAAGAGAAGCCGTCAAGGTGGTGAAGGGTCTAGAGAACAAATCTTAAGAGGAGCAGCTGAGAGAGCTGGGTTTGTTTAGTTTGGAGAAGGGGAAGCTGAGGGGAGACCTCATTGCCCTCAAAACTACCTGAAAGGTGGTTGTAGGGAGGTGGATGTTCACCTCTTCTCCCAAGTAAATAACAGCAGGACCAGAGGAAATGGCCTGAAGTTGCACCAGGGGAGGTTTAGATTGAATAGTGGGAAGTATTTCTTTACTGAAAGTGGTCAGGCACTGGACCAGGCTGTGCAGGGAGGTGGTGGAGTCACCATTCCTGGAGGTGTTCAAGAAATGTGTAGATATGGCACTTCAGGGCATGTTCTGGTGGCTGAGGTTGGGAGGGGGGGCTCTGGGTCTTTTTTGGTGGAGTGTGGGTGGTTTTTGTGTTTGTTTGGGTTTGGTTTTTTTGTGCTGATGGCTGGACTGGGTGATCTCAGAGGTCCTTTCCAACCTTGATGATTCTGTGATTACTTCATTTTAGGCATCTGTGCATAAACATGCAGACATGGCAAGGTGATAGATTCTATAAGTTTGGGCAGACAAAGTAGCTTTTTGCTTCATACATGTTGGTTTGGATTAAGGCAAAAGTTCAGCTCAGCAGCCAAGTGTTCACGTTACCACAGGAACTGTCTAGGTCTAGGATCATCTTCCAAAGAAAGTTCAGTAGAGGTAATTACAGCCAAGAAATGTAGTGATACACAAACTGGAAATCCTTGGGGAGGAGGCTGATTTTTAGCTTGGAGGCAGCTGCTGTTTGTCACTGTTTTATTGACTTTGCCAGTGGAGTGCAAAGCCAGGACTGTTGAACAGTAAACTTTTGAGGAAGTGTGCTGTGGAACACATTGTAGGGGAGTTGACAGCAGTGGAATAATGAACTTCCTACTTTGGGAGAGGATTTGGGCCTAAATGGAATTACATTTCCTGTGGTTTAGATTGTTCTTTTATTGGATCACTTTGTTTTGGCAGGAGCATTTGGGGCTAAGATAACAATGTTTTTTAGAGTGCTGAGAGAGCTCAGACCCCAGCCACTTCCTTCTACAAAATGTGAAACCACGGACAAGTTCTTGAAATCCATCCTCTCACTGACTTAATTCTTCTGCCTTTTCACTTCCTCTGTTTGTATAAACAGATTTCCTTAAAGCAAAGGGTTGCAGTCCTGAGAGTAAAAGTGAAGGGGCTGGGTTTGTGTCTGATTTGCTGCCTTTGAATCTGAATTCCTCCTTGCTTTGACTTTGGAGGATAGTTTGAATTACTAGGAAAAACTGGCTGAGCAACAGTAGTCCTGCCAGTTTGGTTTGGGAAAACTCCCATGCCTGGAGTGGGTAGAGTGAAACACCAGGATTTCTCAGGCAGAGTGTATCCAGTACTGATTGCCTTCCTTTGGAGATGAGAAGGAGGATTTTTTTTTTTTTTGAGTAACAGGTCTCTGAATCAAGGATATATAGTAGTGGGAATGAAGCCTTTCTGGCTGTCGTCTTTCAGCTTTACTGAGACTTTATGTTTGGTGTATAATGAAGGGCTTTAGTTGTGGAAAGTGGCAAGCAAGTTGAGAAAGCAGAGAAGGGAAACACTATTTTTACTGAAATTGTTTGTGTGGGGATGTCACATTACAAAGCACACAGAGAAATATAAGATGTCAGGAAATCAGAGATAGAGTTTGGTGTTCCTTTGAGATAGCATCAGCACAGTACAACCACACACTGTGTTTTGACGTAGTGTTTCTCACATCTAGCAGTTTCCTTACTTGTTTATCTTGTTAATTGCTCCACAAACTCAGCCCTTATAATTGGGGTAGGACTGTGCTGTTTGGCCATGCTGGCAGTGCAGAGCCAAGTGGCTCTATCCCATATTTCTCAGTAGTTGTCTACAAAATTCAAACCCAGTTATGCATGCACACTCTTTGAATCACTGAATAATTTGGGTTGGAAGGGACCTTGGAAGATCATCTAGTTCTGACCTCCCTGCCAAGGGCAGGAAGTTTGAACTCTGTGATGTGAACATCATGTTGGTTGGAGAATCTTTAATTTTGAATTTCTTTTTAGAAATCAAATCTTATTTATTAAACACCTGAAGCAATGCTGCAGTTCTACTTCTCTAGATCAGAATATCCTTCATGTGACAAGAGTGTCATTAGTGGTGTCTTACAGATGTGGGGTGTTTATGGGTGCTTTGTTTGCCTTTTGTTTGTAATTATTCAGAGACTGAATGAAGCTTAGTAACAATTCTGTTAATGGCTGCAGATTTTTATCTTTTGGCCTAGCAATTATGGATGATCACAGGATGGAGAAATTGATGGCAGCCAAAACTGCTTTCTGACTTTTCCTCTTCTTGGTTTTCTAGACGACAGACAGTAACAAGCACTCCTTGCTGGATTGAACTTCATCTGAATGGACCTCTACAATGGTTGGACAAAGTATTGACTCAAATGGGCTCCCCTTCAGTACGCTGCTCCAGCATGTCCTAAAACTCCTTCTTCCCTTTACCACTGGGCTTAAAAATCAAGTCCAATCAACAGACTTAATATAACAGCTCGTCTGTCGTAGTATTTGTGTGTGGTCCCCATGAACTGTTTACTATCCAAAAAGGTTTTTACAAAAAAAAAAGAAAAAAAAAAAAAGAGAGAGAAAAGAAAAACAGCACTTGAGGTCTCATCAGTTAAAGCACCTTGTGGATTCTGTTTCCTATACTCTGATACTAGATGAAAATTTAGTGTATAGAAATGCCTTCTTCAGAAAGAAGAAGGGGACAGTTCTAAAGACTCTTAATGGTGTTGTTATTGGGTATATAATTGAGTGTCCTAATGGTTTATCAATAACATGAATAGCTAAGTATATGTACAGGTAATGTATCATGATCTCAAATATCACAGTATTGTGCTGTTCTACATTTTAGTTCTCATACATAGTTGTTTGTTTGTTTTATTTTTGATTGGGGCAAATCTCATAAAATTCCAAGACTCTTCTCCTTTATTCTTTTATATTTTTTTTTATATAAGCAGGTTTTCGAGTAGTCCTCAACATAAAAAGCAGACTTTCCTTGTAGAAAAAGCTTTACTTTTTTGCTGCCTTCTTAAAGAAAAAGAAAATTCCCTCCATTGGATGGGAAAAGAAATGTCTTGAGATTCATCTGTGAAATCTTGAGACACTTTATATGCTTAATGGGGCCTAAAATGAATTCATGTTATAAATTCCAAGTATCCATCACACTATGAGTCTATTTTTCCCTACCCATCTGAATGGATTCATCTGTTGCCAGCAATATTACTGGCACTGGTGTCATTTGGGGCTTTTTTGTACCTTGAATCATTGAAATCAGTGTGTGTTTATTTGTTTTTTTCTCATAGAATGAGAATTTACAGTAGCATTGGATACTGGATTTAAGTACATAAGGTTATTGGCTCACCCCTTATATCTGTATTTTTATTTTTCATTAAACAGATGTTACTCAAAATGCTACTTTTTAGGTTTTGGAGCCCAATGCCTTGCAAAAAAAAAATACAACAAACCCCAAAATCCTTTCCCAGGGTAAACTAGACTCTCGTGTAGGTTTGAAATAGATGCAGCTTCTTAACATATTTCAGAATTTAAATTTCTGATCTGAGTTGTATAGCTTCCTGACATACCAGATCATATGCATTCATTATGTCATAACGGGCCTTGTTATTAAAAGTAGTTGCTTCTGCAAAACCTCTAGGATAGTGGTTGCTGAGGTATGACCAGCAAAGGAGGACTTGTAGGTTCTTCATGACAGTGCATGTTATTGTGAACCCTTGGACACTACAGCTGCACCATATAAAAAAAAAAAGTTAAAAAAAAAAATATTCTGAAATATATTCTACAGATAAGTCTGGGTTGGGGAAGGGTTGGGAAACTGTATAGAAGGGTTATTCTGACTTGAAAAATATACATCTTACTAACAATCTTGTGATCTAGCTGTCTGTCATTCTTCTGTTATTGTGGCAGTAGCAGGATTGCCTTTGTCTGTTCCCCCCCCATTGTTTCATCTATTACACTAGTACTGTACTTTGTAAGTACAACTAGTGAGAACTTAGCTTGGAGAACAAACCATGTGGCCAGTGTTACAGCTTTTAATCCCTTGACTCAATCCATGCTAGTGGTGGATATTTTTATGCCATCGTGACTAGGGCATAGAAGCAATACCAAAAAAAATTAAATATATATATATTAAAAAAATCAAGCCTCGAAAAAGTGGGCCAGACACTTTCGAAAAAAAAGAAATAATTGGCAAAGCAGTTACCAGTTTGTGCTAGTTTTACCAGTAGACTAATGTATTGGTAGAACTTGTGAACCTAAGAAATAAGCTTCATGCGTGTTGCATTTGCCTAATATGTGAATACACTAATAAAAGTTTTAATTCTCATGATGGTGGTTCTTTTTCTTAATTGCTGCCTATGTTTTCTGTTGTAGGTTAGCAATCATTCTAACCCAAGAAGTGGCACAAGTGTCCTGCATGTTGTGGCTGGAAAAAAAGAGCAGTTTAGGTGTTACAGTTGTTAAACAGCTGGAGGTTCTGGATCTGTATGTGTTCTACTCCAGTTAAAGCAATCACTTTTCCACAATCAAATGACATCCTGCTGGCTCAGATGTTTACTTTCACCTTGTGAAGCAGTTAGATAAGAGTGAGTTGTCTGGGTGAAAGCCTCCATTGCATTTGGGAGCAGGTTGCAACTTGAATCAGTTGGGTGACCTAATTCTGCAGCCTCATTACTGTGGATCTGTGTGTTCCTTCAGTTGCAGGGATCTTTCTTGCTTTGCCTTGAACATTGGAACAACATTGACTGCTCCCTTTTTTTGGTGTGCATTTCCAAGAAGCCTAAAAAGCCACAGGAGACACTATCTGTGGGGCTTGTCTATGTGCAAGGCCATCTCAATATGTGTAGAAGTCACTTGTTTTTTCTTTTAACTTGTTTAACAGCACTGAAATATTCTTTCCTGCCATTGCTGTTGCAGTCACAGCTTAGTGGAACAAGGGAACTTTTCTGCATTTGAAACGTTTGCTTGCCTGTATTTCATTGAGTTGCCTTTGGCAGTTCCTGAGTAACTTTCACCTACTCCTGTTTCTTAATCCAGTGCCTTTCTGACTTACCCCACTGCTGTTCTGCTCTTCTTCAAAAGTCTGACTAGTGCCTGCTCAAGCATCTCAAAATGTGGAATGTCCGTGGTACATATGGAATGTGACTTCGTCCCTCTTCTGCCAAAGTGCTGATGTCCAAAGTACAAATGAAAAATGAGTTATTTTTTGTCAGTCGGGCTGCTTTGTTAAATAAAATCCTTACCAAGCAGAAGGCACTTTATACCTTTATGGGTAGCCAGCTGCTCCTTTGTATTGTGAAGCTGGAAAAAACTCTAGATGTAACTGTTGCCTGAAATTTGGACTGGGTTTCAGTGTCTCTCTTGTCACTAACCATGGCTGAGCTTGATGCTCATAGAACTGCCAAAACCAAGCAATCAAAAATCAGGTAGCTGATGGAAACACCTGAGCCTAAAAGGGATTTTTGAGTTGCCTTTTAGCACCTTGAATGCTCTGAGCTGACATTTCAGGACTTTTCCCCCTCCAAAGGAAAACCCAATTTCCTTTAGAAGTTGTTCTAGGGCTGAGGCTTTGAGAATAATGTCAAATGCTTGGACTTTTGCACCTTGAAACTGTGAGAATTGATAGTAGAGCACCATCTATGTGTTTCCCCCTTCCTTTTGTGTATGTTTCCTACCCAGGTGGCAAGCTCACTGCAACAGGAATTCTCTGCTGTTACTGAGCCATTTGCATGGAGTGTTCCAGGTGCTGCTGCACAAATCTAGAACATGGTGAGATGATCTGTGGTGTTTCCTTGTCGTTATTCAGGATCTTATGCTTCATCAGCACTTAACATTCTGAGACTGATTGCAGGCAAGAAGTGTAAATAGTTTCACTTCAGGTTCCATGTAGCAGGGAGAAGTCAAGTCTGGGGCTCTCAGTTGCTTCTGGTAGGATGTGTTGGCTGAAGTGCATGAAGGAAATGTGAATATCTGCCTTGGAAGGTTCTTAGGCACTATCAAAGTAGTCAGATATTTAGGAATAATAGCTTTAAAATAATTTATACAGTGAAAACTAGAAATCTCAACTACCAAGCTTCACTGAGCTTTAGCTTTTCATGCGTCCAACTTGACTTTTCATGTTGATGTGGGAGGGTGTGAAGTTTGGGGGTTTGATAATCATCTGCAGCTCTAAACTGTTGGCACAGTCAACTGTGTTTTGTTTTAACCTTCAAACTTGTCATACTTGGTTGTGGTTACAGCTTTTGGGGTTGTGTTGGGTTTTTTTTAGCATTGCAAACTGCAATTTTACTGCAGCTGGGTTTTGAGTTAAAATATTGTGAAATACAGGATTTCACTATACTCCACCCACACAGTGTTTTACTGGAGTATGAAGCAGTGTTCCTTTTCCCAAAAATAAGTTTGACTATAACCTAATTTTGGGGACACTGAAGCTTCAATACCAGCTCTGAAGAGCCAGTGAGGCAGTCTGTGTTAGAAGAGTCACATAGATTAAATAGCATGCCAGCTGTACTAGAAAATGCTTCCAGAAGGACTTGCTCAGGGAATTTAAATTGCATCTGGTCTGAAAGTTTATAACTATGAAGAAAATATTAATGTAATGTGTTGTTTTTCTTTCCTGAGCACTTAATAACCATCATAAACTGGATTAAGGGAGGCCATTTAAAAATAACCTTCAGTAATGTTGGTCCTTTTTTATTTTTTTGTCTCTCCTGTAAAAATTTCTCTCAAGTTTCTTCTCTTGGGAAAGCAGAGTTTGTGGGGTAAGTTTCTAGTTACCAGATTGTCACAGCTACAAGAACTAGAATCCAGGCTTCAAAGCTGAGAACTGTCTTTGATGTTGCATTAACTAACACTTGTCTCATTAACTGTAATCAGCAGTAAATCTAGTTAGTTGGCAGAAGAAAAATGGATGGTAAATGATGGGTATGTAAAGATGTCTTTATTCTTTTCCCCCATGCAGAAGATCTAGTCAGGATGGATTCAGTACAGCCCTGTTACTTGCCTTGTTCATTTTGGAATAGGATCCAAAGTGGCAGTGGAAATATATGCTCCACTTAATTTTCTTTTTATGGAATCATGGAATTGTCAGAGTTGGAAGGGACCTCTAGAGATAATCCAGTCCAACTGCCCTGCAGGGGGGATCCCCTGGAGCACATTACTCAGGGCTGCATCTAGGTGGGTCTTGAATATCTGCAGAGAAGGAGACTCCACAGCCTCCCTGGGCAGCCTGTCCCAGGGCTCTGTCACCCTCATCGTAAAGAAGTTTCTCCTCATATTTCATTGTCACTTCCTGTGTTCCAGCTTTTGTGCCTGTTGCCCCTCATTCTGTCCCTGGGAACTACTGAGCAGGGTCTGGCTCCATCCTCCCTGCACCCACCCTGAAATAACTTGTAGGAATTAATAAGGTCTCCCCTCAGCCTCTCTTCAGAACTTTCCCCTTGCCTCCAGGATCTGGGATTCCTGAGGGACAGCTTTAGCAGTGAAGACTGAAGCAAAAAGGCATCAGTAACTCCACTTTCTCTGTGTCTTCCACCACTAGGCAC